TATGGTTCCTAATTGGTTTCAAGTGTATTTTAACCATAAGATTCAAGTCTCCCTGGTGAAAAATTATCAATAAAGTTAAAATAAATTTAAATTGATATAACTAATACATTTGGGGGTTTTATTCACTTTTGATTTGACCTACATATCATATGTGAATACTCTAAAGCCAGTCAGCTAAAAAGTTGTATGTTAATGTTAACAGAGTGAAAAAAGCATACTTTGAGGGAAAGATTTATCTCTTGATACCAATAAAAATAAGGTAATCAATCCAAAACAAATAATCTTGCATGAACAGGTACTGTCCATTAATTAGTAAAATATACCTGATGTTTAAGACATAAGATAAGTTCATGTGCCATGTGTTCTTATGTGATATTGAAGTGTAAACAATTGCAAACAACCACTTCGATTTTGCTGTATTCTAAAGGTCATAACTATCAATTCTAATAACTTTGTCATTTAGATTTATGGAATTCCTTCTGTGTTCTCTCCACTTAGTTGTTGACGAAGGATAATGGCTCTCCCAACAACTGAGTTACTGGTGAACCATAGCGTTTTCCATGCAAAAATTTCAAGTAATACATCTACTTGCCAGGCTGTTAAGTGGCAAGATAGATGCTTCTAAATCCTTGAAATGATTACCTCTTTATCAATACTTACATATGATGAAAGTGGAAAAAGATCAAATTAGTGTTGCATAGAAATAGGGAATGGTCTGAGCCAGTGATAGAGTAAGTTGTCTTTGTCCACACATATAAGCAATATTTGATACAATACACATAGTATTGTAGGTTTCGTCTAATAAGTTTCTACCGAGAATTCCTTTTGTCATTGAATTGCCAGAGTGTTTGTGATCACTGGAGGTACTTCAGATAAATTTATTTTTTATGTGAATGAATGGTGTGTCCCTAATTCTGAAAGGCAGAGTCTACCAGAAGATTTAATTAAATGATTAGTCATCAGCCTTGCAAATAAGGCCGCAAGGGAGCAGGCTTTTTTTAAACTAGGATATCTGTCCATATATCATGAGGCCTAAAAGAAAGAGAGAAACTGACTTTGTTAGAACTCTTGTGTTAGTCTACCTAGAAATATTTCATTTGTGTCATGACAAATCAGGCGAAAGTCAATTTACAGGTTTTGTTGTTTTGACAAGCTTTTAAAAAGGTGTTCTTGACAGAGATTATTATAAATGTTGTAATAAAGGAATGTGGTGGTCTGTTTCTTCTCTTTGGAGTTTTTAGGATTTTTCATTCCATTGCTACAGTAAACAGTAGTGTTCTTTTTCCTTTTAGAAATATCATTAATTTTCATGGTCTGTTTGTGTTAGGTACATAGGTTATCTTGGTCTCTGATCTGAGATCACCATTTGATTAGGGGACTAGATCTTTGGTCCATTCTGTCTTTTTACCAATCTTTGAACCTATCTAAATTGGTCAGATATTTGGTATTGGCTCTGGATCGCTACTGAGGAAGATATTTTCAGATGTTTTTGTGACTTGTTTCTGGGCATCTGGAACTAATTGTTAAGGAATTGTTCTTAGTGTTATTTTTTTCCTTTATTGTGTTATCACTAGGTATCATGCACAGTAGATGTCTTTTATGACACATATATGCATGTGATACTGGATTTTAGGAAGAGATTAGGGATTAGATGCCCTAGCACTTAATGGATTGGATTCACAGAGGTGATGTGAACCTCAAGTCTCACAGCACTTCTCCGCAAACCACCTTTTTTCCTCTATCCAATAAGTTCAAAGTTTCAAGGCCCTATAATGACCATGAGACCATCCTAATATATACTGAGCATTTTATGGGTCATCTTGATTTGTATAGTTGTTGATGTGAAAATTGCCTGTCATTTACTCTGTTGTCTCTGAGACTTCCTTATCTATTGAGATTTAGAATTATGGGTCTCAGGACTGTATGATAGTGGAAGTGAACCCATCTCTCTTCAATATTTTGTCTGTTGAATGCTGTTAGATAGAGCCACATATGGCTTTTAAGATAAATCAGAAAATGAATCTGTAGAACTGTGTGTAGCCTGCTGTGATGAATTTGCTCATCATTTTGCACAGAAAAAATTGGTTAGATTCATTTTGACTTGGGAACTACATTCATATCTAGATCTCTCCCAGCCTCCGTTAATAATGGTTGTTTGGAATTGTTTCAGTTGGTTTTCTTGAAGATTATACAAAGGGGGTTGTGCACTGTTTAATCGTCATCTGTTATATGTTATAGTGAGCTAGTCAGAACTGACAGGTTGTGCACTGTTTAATCGTCATCTGTTTTGATATGTTATAGTGAGCTAGTCAGAACTGACTATGAACAGCAATAAATGGCTCATTTGCTGAGGGATGTGCCCCAGCCCTACTGGAAGAGGTAATGCTCATGTCCTTTCTTGCAAGGAACAAACAACTTATTGACCTTTATGATTTGCCTATTTACTCAAGTGGATAGTGTCCAATTAATTTTCAAATTCTTCTAGGTGAAACTGGTATCCTTGTTAGTCATAATTCTAAACTTGTTTGAATTGGGCAGTGTCTTTGGTTGGCCTGCTTGTAAATTTCAACTATACAGGAATATGAGACCTTGTTGGTTCTTATGAACTTCTGGATAACAGTTGATGTCATCACCTATTGTATCCTTTTCGATTCTCTTTGGGCTATAGTAGTTGGAGGCTCTGTTTTGTGATGACTCTGATCTTACCTGGAAAACAAAACTTGAGATTTGAGAACAGAACTCAGGCTTGAGAACATACAAGGTCTTCTTGTCTGTTGAAGTTGGTTACTTTCTTCTTCTTCTGGTTCCTATGCTATATCATTAAGTTGTAAGTCTTTATTTTATTTTAACATTTGTCTTTTTAGCATCATTGTTTAATGTGTGTTGACATATATAGTGGCTGAAGTACTATTGCTTAGCATAGTTACAATAGAGTAGTCCAATTGAATTGATGGGGATTTGGTGAGTTATCTCTTCTCTAAGTTCCATTGATTCCAATGTGCTTTCTACAATGTGATTAACTTTGGCATAGTAGCCCAGGTGTTCTTGGACTGCAGCTCCCAGAAACCCCAGCCACCATAGCGAAGGGTTCTGGGAGTTGCTGTCCAAGAAAACGTGGGCTGCCCAAGGTTGGGAACCACTCCAGTAAATGAACATTGTAGACTAATTTTTAACCCATGATTAACTAATCTGGTTTTGGTTCAAATTGATCTCTTCTGACCTTCCAGGTTTAAGACTAATGTTTTCAGAGTAATTTTGTAAGATAAAACATATGACTTGCCTTTTCTTACAGCAAATATATTATGAAGAGAAGAATTGAGGTTGTTGCTAATTCACTTGACCTCCCCCCCCCAAAAAAACTTGGGAATTGTAACTGGGAATTCCCTTCCTTAATTTGCAGGGCATACAAACAGTATAAAGATTTTAGATATTTATGTATACTGTGCTTGTTTATCACTGGTGACAGGCTGAATGAGACAAGGAGGATTGGTAATCAGATCTCTTAATTTATCTCCAAATTCCTCATAGAAGACCACCACCAGCAGTAAGTGGATTGGACTGAATTCACTGAAATTTCCATGCTAGAAGGGATGCAAGAGGCTTAGTGTTTTCTTCCTCTGTGCTATTTTCCTGATCTAAATCATCTGCTCCAAACTGGTTCTCTGGGGGGAGGATACAAGTATATTTCCCTATTGTGACTGTAGCGGAACCCCCACATCACGCCTGTCCATCATGGGAAACTCAAGGACAGGAGCCTATGAGAGGACAGGAGAGGGCGGAACAAAAAGGACAGTTAGACAGTTAGGCAGACAGAAAAGAGAGTTGGAGAAAGGAGGTTACAGATAGGGAATTTGAAGAGAGACTTAGGAGATTGTATTGAGAAAGTTGAGAGAGACTATATAGATAGCCAGAAAGCATTATAATAATGAATAAAAACAAACAAACCCAATGTGAAAGCAAATGATATTTAATCAATAAGCCTAAACATCTGTGATTTACTCCTTTGATTTGCATGAAATCTATACAATCAATAAATCTGTTGAACTGGCAGCACGTGTCTAAGATTTTTGGTATTAAGGGAATAATACCTGGTGGCTGCATGAAGTGAGGACACACATCCAGAGGGTGGACTTGGGTTTAAGGCAAAATAAACTAAAGACAAGGGGTGTACGTCACAGTGACAAATACAGCTTTAGAAGAAAGGATGGTTTACAGTTGTACTGCCAACTTAGTATTGCAGCCCAGTCCACTTGCCACCTGTGATATTTTTGTTTTGCTCTTATCTTAAAACAAAAATTTGGGATATCATATTAATGCATCTTCCATGTCTGTTTCACTATAACTCTTTAGATTTTATATATCTTCCATGTACCTTGACTTTCAGTCCTGAGTCCTTTCATGTGCAAGTTGGGTGTGAATGATACTGACGCTGAGGAAGCAAGAAAATGACAACAAAATGGGTTAAGTTGTTCCAGAGTTTTTATATTTAAGGGCCTAAATCCTGTTCTGAGTGCCAACTAGAGCAGACTCAATTCCTGATTAGTAAGTCAACCTTTATGACAGTCTTATTGATTGAATGAGTTTACTCTAGTTTGGATAACCACTTGAATGCTCAGTAAGTAATTTTATGTGTTATTAGAGCAAGTTACTCTAATAACATTGTGATTTCCCCCCGGTTCTTGATAATTGTCACATAAATTTTACATACTTCATGGATGTATTCATGGCATAATGTATGTTGCATGTTCTGTTTTGTAGTGTACGATTTGTTTGGTGCTGATCCTTGACTGTAATAAATTCAATTCAAATAACTTTTGTAGTGTATGATTTGTTTGGTGCTGATCTTTGACTGTAATAAATTCAATTCAAATAACTTTCCATTATTTATATATTTTTTTGTCAATCTGTAGTCACTGATTTAAAAAAAAAAGGTTGTTCTGTATAGATGCCAGTTAACTTCTTTGACTCTTTTTTCCTTTCTGTTTTCCTTTTCTTTAAAGCACAACCACAGCGTTTGCCTCAACCAAATGTCGTGCCACGTGAAAAGTGTCAGGAGGAAACTGGCAAAATACAAAATGGCCATGCTGGTCTGAGTAATGGGAGTGGATTTCGCAATGGAGTTAAACATAGTGCATCAGATAACAGCAGGAAATTCTCAGCTCCTGTCTCACAAAAAATGCACAGAAAGATTCAGTCCAGCTTGTCTGTCAACAGTGAAATCAGCAAGAAAAGCTCTGCATATTCTCATAAGCCAGGTTCTTTACCTGAAGGTAAGCTGAAACCTTGTAAGTAAACTGAACACTGAATAATCAAAACCTATTTCCACTAATAATTACACAGTCAACTAAAAATAATTGGAGAGCATATGTCAGGCTCTAGAAGCAAATAGAAATAATTACAATAAAATACAAGTTACTTCCCCAAAGGAAAACATTAAGTATTTGAAGGGAATTGAAATGAGAGATTTCCGGCTTTGAAACATTTGTGCATCCCACAGTTTATTGTATGTTTTGGATGGGGGTAATTCAAAGTTACTAATGGTTTAACAGAATCGTCATAGGTGCAGCTCAAAGTGGAAAGACTCTGACCTAGGAGGTGGATAAATATGTTAGTATTTGTAATGGCAAACATGTGGCTGAAATGTTATTACTGAAAATGGCTTATTGCATTTCCCAATGGTCTGTATAGGTCAACTAGATCAGATCCAAAATCAGGGCCAGGGCTTATTTACGACTACATGCTTCTTTGCACATATGCATGTTTTTTATACATTTTGTATCCAGTATACACTATATATTAACAAAATGAAATACTTCATTCTTTTTGCAGTGGCCACAATTACTCTTAAAAGCCTTTGAGCTTAATTTTATTCTGCTTATTTCCTCTTCAGTACCACTTTAGATTCTACTTTGTTAAAAAGGGAGGTGGGAAATTTTCTCATTTTTCGTGGTACAGTACTTGCACCCTGCTTGTACCACATGTCTGCCTGTCTGCATGCTTTGGAATAAGTTAAGGGAGAGGCTTAAGGCCCAAACATATAGGTGTGGAGATATAGAATACAGAATGTTAAGCGTCTTGCGGTGCTCTGGACTTATTCCTTGGCAGTAGGATAATAGGGTAAAAAAAGAAAATGAAGGGAGACGAAGGAAGGATATACATTTTGGACCCAATCAGCAACTTCACTGTATTACTTGAAGGATTCAGGTGAATTTTAACAAGCTTAAATGAGAACTATGTAGATTTTTCCCATTTCTTCTGTGTGCGTTTCTGACATTACATGGACCAATTGTGGCAGAAGTAGATTTATCCCCATAAGCTGATCTTGGCAGCCTCCTTGTCTCCTCCAGCTACTCTGTCTTAAAAATTTACATTACTGAACATTATAAACTTACTTTTACAGGTCATTGCTGGCTTAACCAGCCTTCACTGAGAGACTTGGGTGTGGAATCCAAGCAGTTCTCGCTGTTGTCTGATTTAGGAATGAGAGTCTACCTTTATTAACACTTTGTTGGGTTGGAAAAAAAAGAATGCAAGGATGACGAAGCATAAACATATGGAAGGACATAGAAGAAGGCAACAGAAGAAATATAAATAAGATCTCATCCATAAGATACCAGATGTCAAAGGGAAGTTTAATCCTAAAATAGGGATACTAAAAGATCAATATGTAGTCAGTTAATTCAAAATATGTTCCTTTAGGAGAGTTTAATGGAATCTGAGCAATAAAAAAGTAGATCGTAGATCTAATCAAGCCCGAACTCTTCCCTAGAATGATGAAACTGAGGCTATTGCTTTGGACACATCAAGAATAGATAAGAGTCCCTGAAAAAGACAGTGATGCTGGGAAAAGTTGAAGGGAGCAGGAAAAGAGGAAAACCAAATATGAGATGGATTGACTTAAAGGAATAAGATCTGAGCAGGGTTGTTAATGATAGGACAATTTGGAAGTCTTTCATTCATTCATAGCATTGCTATGAATACAAATACCCCCATCTCTAGTGGTAATAAATAGGCCAACATGACTGGAACAGCTGTTGTGCATACTGCTAATTGCCTTTCAACTGGTTTGCCACACTCCAGTGTTAGGAGCCAAAATTACTGGGAACTCAATTTTTTTAGAAGCGTGGGAATCATCAGTTTGGCCAGATATTGGATGGACACAATATATAAGTAAGCATAGAATAAATTTGTGCAGAACACAAATGTAGCATCAGTGGTAGTAAAGGTTGAAGAATCTCAGAAAATGCTGTGGATTGTGAAAAGGTGACCACACTAAAGCAAATAGGAGTGTATATTTCCCTAGGAAGAACTACAGCACACACAGCTTGTTGTTTTATTGCTTAGAAGTATCTGTCTTTATCTCTTGACATCTAATGTCTGCCTATGAGACTTAGACCATATCTTGCCTGGTATTTGTCTGCTTCCCTTTTCCTTCCAAGTCTGTATTTAGCTTCTTGGACCATGCCAGTCTCTGAACTTCTTCCATCCCTCTTGCTCACAGCCTCTGCCAATTTGTATCTCCTTCATCTCTCTGCCCTTTTATATGCTTTACTGCTTTCCAGCACTCACTTGAGTAATTGAAGTGCCACTTTCCTGCTTTTCTGGCTGTCTTCCCACAGTCTCATCTAGGTGTTGGAGTATTGTATTTCTGGCTGCCAGGGCACCATAGCCATATCTGTGATTCAGTTTGGAAATCTTGCTTTTTCATGAAGTATAATGCACGTTTTTTAAATGATACAGGCTGCTATGTATTTTGGCATAGATGCAGTTTAACCTGTCAACGCTCTTGTTTGCAGCTTATTCTCTTATCCAGTTTACCATGCTAACTCTATAGTTAACATCTTGCAAAGGATTCCCTTTATTGTTGTGCCCATGATATATTATCAACCTGGATGTAGGCAGATAATGTAGCAACTTAAGTCAGTAGATTCTATAGATTGATAAGGCTCAAATTTTCTTTTTTTAAAAACTACAGTCCTTTTTGAAAGCTGATTTTAGTTACAAACCAACTAGCAAATCAATGTTCTCAAACCAGATCTATCCAAATTACACTAAAAAGTGGGGAGTTCTTTAAAGGGCAAAAGGAACACACAAGTAGAGAATATGGAATCCTTCATATTCTTTTCTGATGTGTTGACTGCCCCCAAGGCCCTTTCCTCCTAGCCAGTTTCACTTCAACTGTCTTATTTTACTATCTCCCACTTTGCCAGCATCTGTTAACGAATTTATTTCGCTTTGGTAAATATAATGTTTGCATTCTTGTTCACACGCACACAAAAATGCTTTTAAAAGCAGATGTTTAGAATGTACCTGCTCCCTTGATCAGTTTTTTACTTTTGATTTTATTAAAAGAACACTATGGATTAGTGGGCTATCTTTTGAACATGTGCTTCATATTTTTAATTTTAATATTTAAAAATAAGGCTTTAAAAATTTTTTTTTGGGGGGGTAAAGGTAATTATTTTTTATTACTTAAATCAGCTTATACCCTATCCTAAAATTGGCTTCTGGTATTTGAACAGTTAGATTATATTGGCTAGGTCTGACTTTTTTAAAAAACTGGCATTCATCGTTTACCCTTGGCCTTCAGCATGTCTCTGCCCAGTGTCTATACAACTATTGTAACCCCTGCTGAGGCTTCTGTTCCAATCTCTGCATGGGTCTTGAGTAAAACCTTGTTGAGGACCTCAGCTGCCACTTTGATAGTAGTTTTCCTGTTTGATACTTGCTGTGAGAGAGCAGAATGCTTAGAGGTTTCCTTTGAATTTCCTGATCACTGTGAATATAACTAGCTAAATCTTGACCAAGGTCAGCATTTTGTAACTGAGCATATTTGCGGTAAAAGCCCATCGTGATGACTTAAGATTGACCTGTTTCTCAGAAACATGAAGTTATTGACCTTTTACCAAAATTGCAGAGTCCATCGTTAAGTTCTCCTTGTTGATGTACTGGAAGGTAGTGTCACCACATACTTTAAAAATGTTCCAGGATAGAGGCCAACTGTTGTACATGTTTTGGCCAAATGACTTTTCCAAGAGATTGAGGGGAAACATGACTGAAGATAGAACTTATGTTAAATTTAAAGAAGAACAAGACTTGCTGGTGAAGAATTAGCATGGCTACTGCAAAGAGACGTTCTGTGTCTCCAAACTTCAGAATTCTTGGAGCAACTTGTCAGACATATAGAATAGGATGATCTGTTGATGTTCTGGACTGAGTCCATCACTCATTGACTATGCTGACTATGGCTGGTAGCAGTCTAGCAGCATCTGGAGGGATGCCTATTCTTCACCTCTGATTCCTCCCAGGCTGAAATCCAGTCCTTACATATCTAAGAATAAGTCCAGCTAGTAACTCAGAGGGACTTGCTTCTAAGTAGCATAGCTAAGAATAAGTCCAGCTAGTAGTAACTCAGAGGGACTTGCTTCTAAGTAGATATAGAATTCCACTGTTATGAGAGGTGCTAGTAGATCCATGCAAGTATATAAAATCATGCATAGTGTTCACAGGTAATGAAATATTCTCTTTCTATGTACTAGAATTCACATTAATCAAATTTAGGGTCAACTTGAGTGGCCTTAGAATTAGAATTGACAAAAGAAAGTAGTAGAAACTAGTTTTATGGGATTTACTGTTAATTGACCTTGGTGAGATTCATATAGGTGTTGCTTATAAATGATTGTTATTAGCCTTTGTAGCTAAATGGAATATCTGTGATCAGAGATAATGTGTACCTAAACATGGATGGCTTTTGTCTTCATGTCCTATTTGTGGGTTTCTTGAAAGCATTTGATCAGTATTAGAAGCTAGAAACTGGATTCTTAGCTTGATTCTGAAGTGTGTTAGGTTTTGGTATACAATTGACCATATGACTTTTAAATTTGCCAGATAATTTGTGCACTGTGAATGGGATAAGTGGGATATCTAACTTCCTTTTTTGAATACTAGTGATCGGCAGCATTGCAGTCTCTCTTTGAAGGAGTGCTGTCATGTGTCTCATTGGTTAAGAAGCCACTGCAGGGGACGGAGGAGTGCCTTTGAGAAAGTCAAGCAGGATTCTATATGTCAATCTTGTTGCCACCATAGATTCTAGCTGTGCTTCAGTGACACTGTGTTGCAGTGCTACAGAGGTACTCCCTATGGGTTTGGCTATGTACGCTTGTGATGGGACCATAGAGTATTTCTTCTGGAGCTACTCTGAGTGAATTAAATATACATAAAAAGCAGAATTTGAAAAACTATCCATGTTAACACTCATTAGCACTATCCACAGGCAGAATCATCATAGTGCTCCAATTTTGTGTCATTGGGCATGCATAGATCACTTCAGCCACTGGTAATCAGCAAATAATAAAGCTGTTTTGTATAGAACACTGATACCAGTCTGTTTACTTAAATAGAATGCAATAGCCATTTTTAGATCTTAACTTAAATGTTAAAAGTAGTTCTTCTAGATGGCTCTCCCAAGAGAAAACTGTTCCTTGGGTGCATTAGTCTGAGTTTTATTTTGAAGAACGTTATGTTTTCATATGATTGATGTTTTCTTAATGTATCTTACAAATATCTCTATTTTAATGTTGGAGCTTTTATTTAATATGCTTCCATTTGTTTTGTTTTGTTTTTCTTTTGGGGGGGGTAACCTATCCTTGGAACCTGATGAAAGATGGGCTATAAATGAAATAAAAAATATTTTCTGCATTTAGCTGTGCATTAAAGTGGCAAAATGGAAGAATACTCAAATGAACTAATTTTCTGAGGAACTATGCAACTATTTGCTCTACTCCCCCTTTACAGTAAAAGGCGGGAGGGAGGAAATTATGTTAGATTTATTCAAGTACAATCTCCATGACAACAAGTTAATTAATCCCCATCAATCTGGCTTTGGTCCTCTTCGCTGAACTTGTACTCCCTAGCTTCACTTCACATGTCATATCTGCTGAGCTTTGGATGAAGGTCACTTATAGGTACCTTTAATTCTTCATATAAAGAAACCCATTTAACATACATAGGCAGTCTTCTTATTTTACTGCCTAGCTTATTGTATTTCTCTTTCCAGTTTTGTTACCACTTTTCATGCTACATTCAACCTTAAGTGTTTGTTTATTTCTGCTCATAGTCAATAGAGATGAGAGAAACAATATGAGTAAAACAGCTGAGGCCAAAAGGTTTTATCTGTACGGATGACTAGCATCTTACAGTTATCTGCTCTTTCTTTTGCTAACAATTTAGCCAGTTGTTTCTATTTCAACACAGTACTTTCTACCTTAAAAGAAGGAAAACAGGTTCACTTTATGTAATTCAGAGACTTGATTTTTGTCTTTTTTGTGTCAAACTTTTTTTCAAACACGGTAATGCCGGAATAGTCATCTACCTCAAGTCCTGGTCACACATTCTTTGTGTGTCTGTCCGTTATACATACATATATACATGTACACAATCAAAAGAAGTGTAAAACCGATTATGTGAGCCCAAGGGTCTTGTTCTTGTCTGATGGTTATCCTCCATGTAACATTAAAACTCTTTTTTGAATGAAGAGGAGTTTCAAAAACAGTTAGTGCTATGACAGATAGGTAAGCTGTTCAAAGGGGGGTGAGCCCAGAATGTTTAGTGGGCTGGGGCAGACCTTTTATGAGCATGATAGAAGGCAGTAGCCCTTCTGACAATATGAGCTTTCTTTTCTTTGCTGAACTGAATCTCAGTGCAACACCATCCTTGGTGTGGGACTGAAAATGCATGTAGGGCAGTCTTGAAGGAAGAGCGGTGAGTGCAGTAGTGTACCGGATCTCTGCAAAATAGAAGATGGGGTTGGTTGGCAAACATAATCAGAAAGTTGTTCAGGAAAACAGTGTTTCACAATGCTAACAAACTAGTGAAATGATGGAGCAGGTACACACTTTCCCCAAAATTAAGATGTTGAAATTCTAACTGCCATCGATAAATTAGTGAGCAATTCCAAATCTTTTCCATCTGGAAAATCTTTTTTAAAATTCAGCAAAGTTCTAAATGAATCTTTAGTTCCTATTCTGTAATTTGTTCTGTATATAGCGTAAGAGATTCCAGAATGGTCTTACCTTTGGATAGTGCCAAAGGATAAGTTTTCATGCAACATATAAACCATATTGGTATAAGAACAAGACAGATTGAATCTCAAATTGTCGAAAATTGGGGAAGTTCCCCAGATAAAGCAGAAGAAATTATCCGCCCTATACATTTTAAAAATGACGTATATTATGTATGTTAAGTTTTAGATTAAACAATTACATTTAGAAGAAGAAAATAGCAATAAAATGTTCACTTGTGAAATGTGAGCAGTAATTTTTCACCCCTTTTCAAACAGAGTAAAAGCGGAGGTTTGCATGAGAGACAACATGTTCTGGTTAGAAAGTTGGCCTAAGACTAGGGTAACATAGTGTGAAGTTCCCACCTGGCCATGAAGCTCACTGGGTTACACTATTATCTCTGAACATAATCTATTTCATAGGTTGTTGTGAAGGTAAAAATGGATGGAGGAGGACTGACTGTGTATTTAGTTATCTGAAATATTTCCACCCACTTTTCTCCTTTAAAAGGACCCAAGGTGGGTGGCAATACTTGGAGGAATTGTGTGATATGGTGTAAATCAGTGGTTCCCAACCTTTCGTGTCCCAAGGTGTTCTTGGAGTGCAACTCCCAGAAATGCCAGCCAGCACTAGTGGTGAAGTCTTCTGGAAGTTGCAGTCCCAGAACACCTAGATTACTCAAGCTTGAGAACCATTGGTGTAAACAAACCTTAACTGTGTAGATGTAATTCAAATCCGTAATGAAGGCACTCCAATCCCTACTCTTCCTTAATTTGGTAGAAGGATTTGGCTTGAGGGACATGTACAGTTTGCTCATGGGAGCTGAGGCTTTGAAATCTGTGGGACATGTAAGCGGAAGAGAAAGACTGAGCTATGTTTTGTGGGAAGAATAAGTATTTTGTTTTGGTTGCATTGCTGCATTTAAAGGCAATTCTCATATTATGGAAGGAGCATTAGAAAGTAACATTACTCTTTTATTTTGTTCTCTTTCCACCTTTGACCCCTGCCCCCAATCTCTGAAGATTGCTGTGTGCACTGCATCCTGGCCTGCTTGTTCTGTGAATTTGTCACTCTCTGCAGCCTTGTCCTGGGACAAGCATCCTGCGGTGTCTGCCCGGCAGAGGCTTGCTGCTGCTGCTGTGGGGAGGAAATGGGAGATGACTGCAATTGCCCGTGTGACATGGACTGTGGGATAATGGATGCCTGTTGTGAATCATCAGACTGTTTGGAAATCTGCATGGAATGCTGTGGGATTTGTTTCCCATCGTGATAAGTTTATTTATCCCTTGTATTTTTTAATATCTTGTTTTAAAAACAAGCATGTCAGTGTTGTTATACTTGGAATTTTTTTTTCTTTTAACAAGCCCTTTCAGAGGACACTGTTAAATGCTCTTACAGCAACCTAGTTATATGCACTGTTAACTTTATATTAAAGAACTTTTGAAGAAACATATATATATATATATATCCATAAGAACAATGCTTGATGGTCTAATATTCAGAACCTGATTATTATCTCTGTTAAATTTTTCTAACACAGGTGAAATAACCATTTGCTTGTTGTACATGGATTAAAATTTTAGGACTGAGCCCTTTAAAATTATCTGAGTTTTTTTATTTTTTGTTTTATTTTGCTGTGTTTTAAAGAGTTGATCACATTAACAAACAAGTTTGTAGAAGAGACCAAAGCAGCAGGGTTGGAGCAAATGCATATGTTCTCCAGCAAAATAAAAATAACTCCTTGTGGGATTTCCACTTTAATTATTTTCTCAGTGGCAGGTAATTGTAATAACTTCAATGTTAAAATAACTATTTTTCTTAATAAAATTCTATATCCTTTCTGTTTTAGCTGCAATGTGAAGAAATGTTTTCTTGACTATTTACATAATTTAATTCTTCAATAGTGCTTCAATAACGAATGATCTGGTTCATATTTTACAATGTAATTCTGTATGAGGCTCTTTAAGAGTAAGCAGGTAAGCTGGTATACGATTTTATCCTTAAAGGTTAATTACTCTTACCAAATTTTATACTACATAGAATAAGTTAAAAGGTATTCATTATGAACCTGAGGATTCTATAAGGAACAACTACACACTCCCCCAAGACCCTCTCTCCCAGTCCTGTCTGTAAGCTGTTATACCTGGTGTTTAGATTCAGGACCAGAAACTTACTTTTTAAAACTTGACTGATGGGTACAAAATCAAGAATGCAGAATTACTGGGTTGCCTGAATGAGAATGAGTCTAGCTGTATGGGAATTGTTTCTCTATGAAAAGAAGTAAAAAAAGATTTAAATGGATTTTTAATATATGTTTAAAAAGTGTGTAAACGTTTGATACACAGTATTTGAAGTTCTTTAAGGGGGAAGAATATGTGACTTAAAATGATAGCTTTCTAGGTATGAATTTTTAGAAAGATACTAAAGATTTGTACAAAATTGTTCTTGTGGCATAATCAAATTACGGACCAATATAATGGTGCTCATTTATCTAAACCTCTTGTGAGATTTCCCTGCAATTTAAGTCAATTTAAATAAACTACTTGAGTATCCAGAATTTTTGGTTTGCCAAAATTTCCCTGTAACCCATTGCCGTTGTTCCTCTGTAGCCAATCTATAGACCACTTTTTAAATGTGTGTTTGTGTGTGTACACACACACACACACACACACACACACACACACACACACACACACACCGTTTAAAATTGGTCTATAGAGTGTCAGTTTTTCCTTTGCCAACATAGCAAACAAAAATTCCAGAAAAATGAATAGTCTGAATTTATAAACACTGATTTACTTACTACTGACTTGTTACTGAAAAAGAAACTTAAACAGATAAGTTTGTCTTCTCTGGTACTACTTGTTTGCTTCACGCTATGTACAGGGAATGTCTTTCCCTCTTCTTGTAGCTGTTTCCATTTACTGCTGCTACAGCTATAAGATTAGATTCTGATGTTTTATCCATTGCACTTCAAAGTTTTTTTTTTAAAAAAACACAATAACTTGCAATACAAATAGTGGGATGGATCCAAGTACCTGGTCATACTTTGCTGGAAATTTGAGGGAAGAATAATAGAAAATTGGGTGGAGGCACCTTCTGTTCCGTTCTTGATGCCTCCAACCAGATTTTTACAATCTCAGCGTCCTCTTCAGCCACAGGTTAGTCTCCAAATACCTTTATCAGAGTCCCCCTGGCTCTTGGAGAAGCACTTGAAAGAGGTTCCTTGTGTGCTGGCAGGGAGAAGCAGGGGAAGAAAAGTTAACTTCCATTCACATCTTTCCATGGATGCTGTCATGAATATCTGCATCCAGCCTAATGCTTTTACACTGGTTTTTATTTCATGAATATTTTAGTTTAAAAGTTTAATACAGTGGGGTCTCGACTTACAAACGGTTCTACATACGAACTTTTCGACTTACGAACCCGCCCGATAGGGAAATTACATACTCAACATATGAACTTCCCTCGAGTTACGAACAGGGAAAAAAGTGCCCCCTGCCTCCCCTTAGAGGCTTCTGGAGGGGGGAAAAGGGTCAGAAACTTAAAAATAAATAAAAGAAAGTCACTTACCAG